GAATTATTTACAGCAATCCTTCAAGCAATCTCACATTTAGGATACCCTTTCAAGTTGTTCCAACTTTAGGACTAAAGTTAATTTTTCTTCGATTCCTATAGGAAGAACCTTTATTCCTTCGAACCCTCTCACCCTCCCATCCTACTAACTTTCCTTATCCTTATTATTCTCATTCTCGCGAACGTTGGTTTACTATATAGTCGAAGTAGGATCGCGTCGACGAAGAAGAACCGGCTGTGAGAGCTTTAATGACGCGAGTCGATTCGCCTCGGTCGATATATCGTCGTCGGCGATGACGAGCCGATGGAGAATCGACGATTTATTATGGAGAAGACGCATCCTATCATCCTCTTCTCTTTTTCACCATTACATCCTTTTCCTTCTTCACTCTCTCTTTCTCTCTCTTTCTTTCTTTCTTTCTTTCCTTTCTCGAATATTTCTCATCGATTATCTATCCAACGTGTGTATGTGTGTGTGTGTGTGTCTTTGAGTTAATTGATTTACCGATTTTACCCATTTTCTTAACATTCCTTTAACTAACCTTATTCGCGGTTCTCTCACGTACAAACGCGAAAGAGAAAGAGAGATTTATCTCTGCCTCGTTGTGAAAATAATTAAAAATAAAAAAAAAAAAGAAATGAATATATATGACAGAAAAATGAAAAAAGGAAACGTCGTCGTCGTCGTCGTATCTAACAATGAACGAATCGTTGAAATTTCTCTACGAGTACAAGAGAAAGAGAGAGAGAACGAGTTTTGCCGCGTGCATCTCGGTTTTTCCATCCTCGGTGATTCCACGATCGTAGATAAAGAAGGAAAGGAAGAGAGGAGGAATACTTCCCCCTTTCCTTTTTCTCTTTTTTTTTTCTTCTTTTTCTTTTTTTTTATCGGACCCCTCCGGAAGAGGTATCACCGGTGTGGAGAAACGTAAAGAAAAATGGGAAGGAAGAGGTCACCCTTGGAAGAACTTTCAACCCCCTTCGGGTCACGCGGAGAATACCGTTTTACCGACTATTAACTCACTTTTACTCTCCCCTTCTCTCTCTCTCTCTTTATTTTTTTTTACCCTTCGTTCAGGTCCCAGAAGCATCACATCGAAAAGTGGAAAAGAAGGGAAGTGAACTCGACTGTGTGTTTTTCTATCCCTCGTACCTTCTCTCTCTCTCTCTTTCTCTCTCTCCCCCTCTTTTACTCTCAATCGAGTTCTCGCGTAATCTTCATTTTTTTTTCACCACTCTTGTTGGACCCCTCACCGATCACTGTAGACTTATATTCTTGTCCTTTCCCTTCCGCATTGCAGAAGCGAACATACGCGGATGGTAGCTCGCGTGCAGGTAGTATACCATATAGTTCTCTCTCTCTCTATCTATCTTTAAGCTACCTGTGTAAACTCCGTGAAAAAAAATCAAAATTGAGGGCCACGCTCGATTTAACCCCTGAGAAAAATCGTCCACGGTTCGCCTCGACTTTCGTATATAAAAAAAAAAAGAAAGAAAGAAAGATTGAGAGAGAGAGAAAGTGAGAGGGGTTTAACCGATTTTCCTTCCTCGCGAAATTTTGAAATCTGAAACCCCGTTTTCTATCGTCGAACCCGTTTAGGGCCTTAAGTATCTCGTAAAAATAGGCTGGGGATATATATCGAGTGAACTTTAGTCTTTATTTCTTTCTTTCCTTACTCTATTCCGTTTTTCTTTCTTTTCTTCTATTTTTTGTTGTTAATCTTTTTGAGTCTGGAGGTTAGGGGAGAGGTCGGACGTCAATGTTACGCTCTTTGCAGACTCGGCCGACACGCATCGCCGTTACGCTCGTTTTTTTTCTTTTTTTTTAATTTTATTTCCCCTTTCTTCTTTTTTTTTATTCTTTACTTCTTCTTCTTCTTCTTCTTTTTGTTCTATTCCTTATTTAGCAAAGTGGAATATTTCGTTGTTGCGATGGAGAAATTCAACGTAAAAATATGATACGCGTGTTTTGTACGCGAGTTTAACCGAGCGAGAGTAAATTTATATTCGAAGTAGAGAATACACGAAGAAAAATAGAAAGAAAGAAAGAAAGAAAGAAAGAAAGAAAGGAAGAAAGGAAGGGTGGGTGGGTCGGTCGATTATTTTCCTCCTCCCTTTATCATCCTCTCTTCCCTCCCTCCTCCATGACTTTTTCCCTTTGGTACCCCTTTCGTGGGTTATCCCTATTTTTTTCGTTACATTCTCTGGGCCTTTGATTTTTATCAATCGGCCACGACTACTCCGGCTTGGCGAGATGCAAGACGATGTGGAGCAAAGATGAAAGGGAGAACGTTTCGAGAGGAAGAGAAACACAGGATCCCCGCGGCGCAGGACCTTCTTCGGAGCGGACCTTAAAAATCGACTCGATTTAAGGATCCGGCCGTAAGGATGCACCGTAACGCGTATATGCATGCGATTCTTGAGGAATTTCTCTGCCAACGATGAGAATCCATTTGATACTCTTTCTCTCTCTCTCTCTCTCTATTTCTTTATTTTTCTCTTTCTCTTTTTCTCTGTCTCTCATATTTCTCTTTTCTTTCATCGTTGCATCGTAGCGCCTACTCCTTCTTCAACCAGGTTCTGCATAAAATTGTTTCAACTCGTGTAATCTCGGTTCTTGTCTTCTGACATTCCTTCAACCATGGAATGTTACCTTTAAATGAAGTCACCGTCTGCATTATTCAAATATCATACACCACCAGTCTCTTGATATCCTTTAAACGTGTTTTATACCAAATGGGATTTAAATCTTTCATCGAAGGTATATTCGCAAAACTACAAATAGTATTATATAAAGTAATATTAATTGATAGAAGAATTTTGTAAAAGTACAGGTGATATAGGAATCGAGATTTAGAAGCTAAGGCTTTTCCCACAATGTGCACTTCTCTTCCTCTCTCTCTCTCTCTCTTTCTACACACATAATACCAACCTTTTTATCTTTTCACCTTCCAAAGAAGACTCGAAAATGACGACGGACGATCATTTTTCATCGTTCCGAGGCGTCTTCTAGAATGATGGACGAATGTGGCAAAGAGATAAAGAAAGGGGGAATGCATTTTTCGAGAATGCTCGGGTATAAAAATAAAAAAAGAGAGAGAGAGAGAGAGAGAGAAAAAGGAAAGAAGCTGCAGCCTTTTTAAAGGGGGTTGTTGCGTAATTTCGATAGACGTCATCGATCTATACTAGTCTCCCCTTTCCTCTCGATGCTATTACCTAGGGTCCTCTCTTTTTTAAAAGACCTTCGCGAAAAAAGGAGGGAACCTTTTAAGCCCTTTCCCAATTTCAAATCTCTTTCTATCTCGCTTTATTTTCTTTCCTTCCTTCTTTCCTTCTTTCCTCCTTTCCTTTCCTTTCCTTCCTTCCTTCTTATTTTCTCATTCCGCACCCGCGGAGCCGACCTGCCAGAGGCTGAAAGAAGGCCCAGGTAAAATACACCTTCGGGATCTTCTCTCGTTGGAGTTTGACGTTCTCATGGGCCTTGGTTTGCGTCTTGTGCGCGAATAAACCGCGATATATCTACCTGAAATCAGTCGACCATCCCGGAGGGTTATTAAAAACAACCCCCTGCTCACCACTCGTTCCCTCTCTCTTTCTCTCTCTCTCTCTCTCTTTCTATTTTTCTTTCTTTTTCTCACTCTTCTTTCTCTATATATCCCAGCAGTCGTAGTTTTAACCCTCCGCATGATCGAGAACTGAGAAGAACTGAGAAGAGAACCGGTTGGTTCCTTCTGTAATCCGAGTTTCTTGTAATCCGAGAGACGAACGGATTCTTCTTCCTCCTCCTTCGTCGTATTACACGATAGTTCGTTGATGCGCGCGTATATGCTGCTAGTATTTTTATTATACATATATACGTATACTTATTACATATATATATATATATATATATATATATATATACATATATGTTTCTTTCTAGGTGCTTATATATATTCTTACTTTCTCACATTAGTTCGAAACTTTTCGCGTACAATGAACGGCAATCGTTATATTTTTTTATTTCCGCTATGTCCACACGTCTATCTCGAATCATAGTGTTAAGAAAAAATGATCGATCCATCGATCGATCGACTTTCGACACCTCTTCTCTCTTATTTTTTTCATTTTCTTTTCTAATTCTTATGTTATTCTTGTTTCCTTTTTTTCTGTTTTTTTTTCACCGCACTACCGTAGCTTCTTCGGGGCCGATTTCACCCCAAAAGAGAAGAAAAAAAAAAACGGGATCGAAACGGAGCAGATGTACCTGCTCGCTGGCAGTCGATTACGGGACTTTTAAAATCCGAACGTCTCAATTTCACGATCTCCAAGTTCTCTTGCAAAGGGCAAACGGGGTAGAGGAAGAGAAAGAAGAAAAAAAAAACAACAACAAGATTTCCCTTTTAGATTCCTACTACCACCAATCTTCCTCTTTTTACGTCGATAATTCTTTTTCTTATTTTCTTTCCCACTCCTTGTTTTTTTTACCAACCACGATTTCTTTCCCCTTCCTTTAAGGGAGTTTGGATTCTCTCTCAACACCTTTTCATTCGTCCGACGTAATAACCGGACGAATTTTCTTCAGCCAATCGGAAGCTGATCCCCCCCCACCACTCGATTCTTTCCAAAAATATGGAAAAACTTGGTAAGAGTAGTCAGTCTTGTCAGGAGTCTGACAAAGTTTGGGGATTGGCGAGACTTTCATGGTCGAGATCGAAGCCGTGAGATTTAATAAAAGGACAGTTAAAGTCATATGTATTTGAGAACGCGAAAGGATACTTATTTTTTAATCATATTCAACATATGCAACTAACAACGATTGAATTTTAATTGAATTTTAATTTCAAATAGAGTCCATAGAGTCCATCAATTATTTTCCTTTTATTTATCAATATTTATTTATTTGACATCGAGTTTTCATATTGAAATCATATTCTTTTTATTATTTTAAAATTATTTTCATAATTTTTCCAAATAATGTGTAAATACTAACGAAATATATGAATCATTCGTGTGTCACAGGAAAGGTGAGAGTGAAAGAAGAGAAAGACGCATCTTCGATGGCACCAGGAAGTCCACCGACACCACCGCACACACCTCAAAGTCCACCGAGACAAAATCTACCTGGTGGCAATTTTTCCCAATCCTGTCAAACATCAAACGCGAGTTCTCCGAGTTTGCAACAGCAGCAAACGCACCAACTGCATCAGCAGCAACAACAGCAACAACAACAACAACAACAGCAGCAACAACAGCCACAACAACAACAGCAGCAACAACAACAACCACAGCAAGATCAACAACAGCAACAGGATCAACAACAACAATCGATCAATCCGATAACGAATTCACCATTGAGTCAAATCCTCGTACAAAATCCTGCATTGGCACAATTGTTGCAACAAAATCCGGCAATCCTGTCGCAAAATCCACAATTGGCGCAATTGTTGCAACAAAATCTTCAAGTTCAAATGGGAAGCGTGCTGTTTCAGAACGTACGAAGGGAAGAAACGAAGGATACGAGAGTGAGTAACGATCGATGATTCATTTGTTTGAAATTTTATTATTAGATTGCAATCGTGTGCCTTTGAAATCGATTAAAAATTCGACAAGAATACACGCACATATATGTGTAAAGATATCTGTGTGTCTGTAAGAAAAATAATAGACGTAATTGTAAGACTATTATTATTATTATTATTATTGTTGTTTCTCGATCGACATATTAGTCACAAATATCTTCTCGTGTCAAGGAAAGCTCGCGAAGGTAGGAGCAGAGAGTGGAAAAGTTTTCTCGGCCCTGCGTGCAGTAAAAATACACGAACGAAGAATTTAGCACGATTGTTTCTCGTGTCAGTAAGACAGACAGTAAGAAAGAAAGAGAAAGAGAGAGAGAGAGAGAGAAAAAAAAAGATAGAAAAAGAGAGAGAGAGAGAGAAATAAAAAGAGAAAGAGAGGCCCGTATCACCGATTACAAAAGATTGAATCGTGTCCAAGAACTGGGAGTTCGTTCGCGGATTCCCGCGTGCAAACTTTCGTGATCGATCGTTAAGTTTAAAATCGAGATAGATAGATCATCTCCTAAATATCTAAATTATTAATAATAATTAAAAGCGTATGTTATATTTCTTTAGAATTAACCAACACGATTTTCTATTCGCCGATGTGTTTATTCGTTCGAATTAACTTGATGGAACAAAGATCGATTATTTTCGATGTGTAGAATATATCTGCTTTTCTCTCGAAGAAATACAACAAAAGTCTCGCGACGGAAGTTGAATCAAATCCAAGAACAATAGCATCAATTTCCTAACGTTAGTTTGCCGTGTTACATCTAATGCGAATGGGTGATTTTCGTCGAAAAATATAATTCATACTTATTACGTATCACGAAATATTATATTGCTGCAGGATTATCGCGTGAACGAACTTTTATGGTCAAACTTTGCGTGTCCGTTCGTTTCTTTTTATTTTAATATCTTTTCTTTTTACCAAAATAACAGTAAAAAAATAAGTAAGTAAGAATAAAAGAGAGAGAGAAATAGAAATAGCAAAGTTTTGTATCGTAGGATCGAATGTTTTTTACAATTAGTGTGAAAAAGATGAAAGATATGCGATCAAATGGGAGGTAAAAAAGAAATATCGTAATTGATTTTACAGAAATAACAAATAGAAGATTATATAGCGACGTAGATGAGAATGATTTATATAAAAAAAAATATAGAAAAACAAGGAATAATTAACGTTTCCTGATCTTATGATTTTAAGGAGGCTGGTTGGGGAAAAAGAGAAAAAAAATTGTTCGATAATCTCACGGGATCATAGATGATAGAACAATAGTAGTTTGACTCATCGTCAGATTTTCGATGAGGCAAATGACGGATATACTACGGACGACTACGATGGACAAGGATGAAACGATGGAGGAGCCTACGTGACATCGTAAACTCTCACATTCTGACGAGAGTTATACATTAACCAAACCGCTCGAATAATTCAGTACTTCGTAGAATCGTGAACAACGAATAAGTCGCGACGTTCTGTCGCGTAATCGGAACAGCAGGGGATATCACGTTTGCAATGAAAACCTTCTACAAATCTAGATCTATAAATTTCTTTCTTTCATTCTTTCTCTTTTTCATTTTCTCTCTCTCTCTATCTCTCTCTCTGTAAATTGATTGCAGAAATATAGAAAAATCATAGGTTACTCGGAAACTCGATTATACTTGTATTACATTATTCATGTTCACTATTTACCAAGATTAAAAATATTCGATCGTTTAACAATATATCGATTCGTAAATCTCGATCGGGATCGAGAAGAAGTCGTAATCTTGAGTGGCGTAAAATAAGAAGAAGGTAACATCGTTCGATTCGTTCGAAATGACATTTTTCTAAATTGTTTCTATTCTATTGTTCGTAGAATTTAATCGTTCATAAGAAATAGAAAAAAATTAACAACTGGTAGTTAAATTCTGTTTGAATGTATTATAAAATAAGATCCCTTCTCTCTCTCTCTCTCTCTCTCTCTCCCCCTCTCCCTCCTGCCTCTCTCTCTCTCTTTCTTTGTATTTATCGATACCACATTATTCTTTCGCTTGCTCACCTTTTTCGCATCCACCCACGTTTTTAATCATTCTCGCGATCAAATTCTAGACACTAACCAGAACCATCGACTGTACTTTTTTTTTTTTCTATCTTCTTCTATACGGCAATTATGTATATCAGAGCGAGCAAGTAAAAGCAAGCAAGCAACCAACCAAAGCAAAGCAAAGCAAAGCAAAGCAAAGCAAGCAAGCAAGCAAGCGTGCATCGTCGAGTTGGAAAAAGTAATTTCGCGTAGGAACGTTTGTTTCGTTTGTTCCTTCGTTCCTTCGCTAGAAACACACAAGGACGAGAGAAAGAAGAAGAGAAGAAGGATGATACGCGAAACATGGTCCCTCCCCTCTCTTTCTCTCTCTCTCTCTCTCTCTCTTATTCTCTCATTCTCATTCTCATTCTCTTTCTTTTTCTCTCGCATGGGATCGCATGCTATGGAATCCCATACGGGGAGAATTGAAATTATTCCCCCGATTTTTGTCGTGTCGTTTACATTATTTTCGCCTTTGAATATTAATGGGCATATGCTCTCCGGCGTTATGGCACAAGAAGTAACAACGGCGTATAATACTCGACTCTTAACGTTATTCTATTGTTTGCAAATCAGCCTCTATTGTTTTCTCATATACCTCTATACTCTCCGCTTCTCCCCTCCCATCCTTTCTGCCCCTTCGCCCCATCTCCTTGGCCTCTTCTTCTTTCTCTCTTTCTCTCTCATTCACTTATTCCCTTCCTCACTCCTTTCTCTACCTCCTTCCCACCTCTATCTACGAAACGAGAGGGGACTCTATCTCTATCTCTTTTTCCCTCCTCCTCCTCCCCTCCCCCAACCCGCTCGCCACCTCCTCTCCCTTTTTATCCATGTGTTCCATACATATGACCACCTTGCATGAACCATGCTTTTACATGGTGTTTCCTATACTATAAATTTCCGATTCTCTTTACTCCGTTGATTTCTTCGAGAGCATTTATGACGATGACGACTGGGTTTCGAAACGTCTCTTCGACGTGTTGTGTTGGCTCGATAGGTAGTAAGATCCGCCTCGTGCCACATGCAACTTTTGTTTCATAGTCCTCTTGCCTCTGCTGCCGCTGCCGCTGCTGCTGCTGCTGCTGCTGCAAATCGATGCCAGAAACGTGCTTCCTCTAATTGCCTCGCAAATTCGCTTAACGTCTCGTCTCATTGCTTTTGCCCTCTAACCCTTCCTTTTATTTCTTTTTCTTTTTCTTTTTTTTTTTGTGTTTCGTTTTTTTTCTTTACCTGGATACATTTGTAATAATAGCTAAACGCGAAACGAGAAATTCCAAACGCATTACTACGAACTGAGCCGATATAACATTGTCATGCGTGATACGATGCAACTCTGTAATATTGGGTCTCCGAAGGCCGATAATTATGAACGCTGAATATAAATGTTCGATTAAGGAACGGATCGTTTGGTCACAAGTCTTATGTATGTTTGTGGAGTGTATGTCTATGTATCGCATGAACATTTTCAATTTCGTTTTATTCCAACGAAGAATTCCATACAATTTTTTTTATCGCATTCGATTGAAAAAAAAATAGAAAAATTGATTTTGCTCAATCTTAATGAACACTAACTTTAACGGCAACGCGTCAAATGTTTCGTTTCATTTTGAAACAACGAAGTGAGTAGGATGATGCAGATAGATGCAGACGATGATGTTGCAATCGTTTCACAAATACTACACACATGGCGCCATTCGTTCGTTCGGTTCTTAAACTAGGGCTTCAGAAATCGTACAGGATTCGTATAATTTGTAACTCGATAAGGCTTCATGCTCGATTATATTTTTCTTTCGTATTAAGATCTTCTCCTAGGAACACATTTTAGGTATCACAGAATATACTGGTGTATTTGTACTTGTAGTTTTTTTCGAAAACTATAGAACTTGTGTGTGTGTGCGTTCGATGAATTAATTTGAAACGATACTCGTGGACATTCTTTTAAAAAGGGACGACGCATTATTGTGAGAAAGTTTTCAAATATCGATGTTATTCTTTCGCACGTATTTATGTTAATCGAATTTTTACATCTACGCCGGAAGTCGTTCGAATACTTTACGCCTTAGCAAGCAAACGTGACAGGGTCGGTGATCTTGGAAATTACTTCTTCATTCTTTTTGCCCTAAAATTTCAAGAAAGCGGAAACTTCTCCCCTCGTTGGTAAATGGATGGGTCGAGTGCCTTTAAAATGTAACTAAGAATAATCACCATAATCGTTTCATTTCCTGCATGAATTTCGATTTCAAGTTAAATGATTTTTTAAATCAAAAATATATCTGTACCTAAAATGATTTGTTACGATAGATTTAATAAATAATATTGCGCTTGTTTTGTTTATTATTATACTTATTACAAAATGACAACGTGAATATTATCAAATAAATTTTTGCAATTGTTATACTCGCATACGTTAGCTCGCTATTATAATTATCGGCACGTATAAATACATGTAAGGATCTTACTATGTGTTATTATTTTTGTCGGGAAACTAGAAACGATCTGAAGTCGGAGGTAGTACTACTCATGGTATATCCCATACAACACCGTATCGCATTTCGGTACTGTCAAACGCCTTTTCCTTACTCCGTCTCGTTCGTTAATTTACGAAAGGATTTATGTAAGACCGCAAATCGAAAGATCCATAAAAGAGGATCAATTTCGTCGCGGTTCGTGGGTTAGCCGTTCCCTGCATCTTTCCCCCTTCTTCCCCACCACCACCATCACCACTACCACCACCACTACTTTCCTTACCTCGATCAAGGTACGTACAATGCGTTTGCGACCCTGAACGCTGTGTTTTACACTCTTTCTCCTTCTCTTTCTTTCCATTTAAACATGCAATAAATATTTTTAAACGATGCACAATCTGCATAAACAAATACGCAAATATTAAACATATATTAAATATCATAAATGCATTTATTTTTCTTTTTTTTTTTTTCTTTTTAGGTACCAGCACCAATAGCGAGACTTGCGGCAATGGGAGTGGAGACAGCTGACCCGAAGGTTTCCGGTGAGTTAATATTTCCTTCTCCTTATGGAATTACCGTGATCGTAATTAGATTCAAATCGAGTCCCCGCGCGTTCGGCGACCCTACGAATGAAAAAGGGGGAAAGGAGAGAGGAACGATGAAATAACAAAAAGAAAAAAAAATTATAAAATAAAACAAAAGAAAGAGAACAAAAATCAAATTCACCGGATGAGACACCGAAGGTCGTTGGCATGTGGATGCACTTATTTATTTATTTATAAATATATACATATACCTATATATATATATTTATTTATAAACATAAGTAATAAGTATATGCATATATATATATAAAGAAAATTTGCAACTAACAAGCGAGTAGCATATGAAATTCTATGTATAAATGCATATATGAAATATATTTATAATGGTAAGAAGTTAATAAAAAAAAAGAAAGAAAAAAAAAAAGAAAAGGAAGGAGGGAGGATATCTTTGAACTTTCGAACTTTCATCGTTTTCATCTTCGAGTACAATGATCCCGCATGCGTTCTCCCTCTCTTAGCTAATTATCGTTTTCCCACGAGGTCGTCTACTATGCGCTTGCGTGCGTGTGCATGTGTATGTACATGTATATAGTTATAGAGAGTTAGTTATCATTGTCCTACTACCGATGATCATAGACCACAGAGAGTGTGTGGTCTGTGGACTTCCTTGTGTGTTTGCGAGCTTGAACCTTTCTAGCTTAGCTTTTAGTTTAGTTTAGCTTAGTTTAGCTTAGCTTAGCTTAGGCTCAGCTATCTCGCGTTCACCGCGATTCGGCCGGTGTATGTAAAAACCCCGTAAATCGTGGTTACCACCAACCTGACCGATTCTAGTTGTCGTCCCGCGCTTTCAGCGTTTTGTGATCGAGGGCTCTTCCCCCTTTATTGGAATATCCGCCCACAGCATTATGGGAATTATCAAGGAAATAGGATGAGTACGATGGTGGGTCTCACGGGGGGAAGGGGGCTCAAGGGGGTTGGATATTCTCTTTTCATCTTTTCTCTCTCTCTCCCTCTCACTTACTCTTTACGTCTATATCCATCTTTATCTTTCCTTCTTTCGCTTCGAAATAGAGAAAGGATGTGAAAATGAATAGAAAAATAAAAAAAAAAAAAAAACACAAAAAAAGAAACAATCACTTCTCTTTCAATAATCAATGAGAAAGAGAAACTCCGTATACTTACGTGTTGGCTCGTTTCGAGAAAATAGAAATGCTATGACTCGGCAAAATGTAAATTAATTATACATCATGCGTCTCTCCCTCGTTCACCCTTCTGGTGAACGAGGAGTCTACTCGCGTCTCTCTTTCACGGATTACGTAATCGTTGTCGTTTAGATTACGAAAAGAGAAGAAGAGGGAAAAGTGATTTTTCATCGAATGGGAAAGCCAATGAAGGATTCCTGACGGAAATTATGATAATCGAGAACGTGGCGGTGGCGGTGGCGGTGGCAGCGGTTGCAGTTGCAAGGAAAAATAATAAATAAGAAGAAGAAGAAGAAGAAGAAGATGAAGAAGAAGAGGAAGAAGAGAAGAAGTGGTGTAGTGGGCGGCCTCGTTCGATCTCTTTCTCCTACCAGAGACACATTCCCACAATTTCGGATCGGCCAATCAACGTTCGTCCGGATGATATTAAACTCGTGGTGGGATACACGCTGAAACGGAATAAAGTAAAATGTGCGTTGCGCGTCGCGCTCTACTATGAAAGAGAAAAAGAGGAGAGAAAAGAGAGAGAGAGAGAGAGAGCGTTTGGTCGGTCGTTCGCGTGCAAAAGAGATAGAGATAGAAAGAGAGAGAGAGAGAGAGAGAGAGAGAGAGTGAGAGAGAGAGACCAGCAATCAAAGCTGATTAAGCCCACAACTGGGGAATCTGTGGGGCCAGTGTCTCACGCCAATCTCGCCCAATCAGCCGGTTGGCCGGGGAGATTTAAAAAATAGAATGCCTACTGTCAATTGTCCCATAATTTAAATAAATCGAATAAATGGACAAAGTGGCCAATTAGAGTAGTTGCTGGTTGCTGCTTTAACGCATTATTCTCTCTTTCTCGTAGTGTCTTCGGTCCTGTCACCCAACCCCCATCCTCCTCGTCCTCCTCCTTCTCATCGGCACCCCCTCTTCGCTACCCTCTCTGAAACTCTTTCTTCTCGGTCGGCTGACTGACCGACCAAACGACCAGCCAGCCAGCCAACCAACCAGCCAACCAGCCAAGGAGGATAGTTCTTCTTCGATAGATTTGATTTTCAGACGAGAAACTAAGAACTGATCCGATGATCCGTGAATTTATGCTCCACGACAATTATCTTTTACGTATGTTCGAATTTGTACATGTGTATACATACAGAGACACACACGTACGTACGTATGCATCCAAGTATCCAAGACAGTGCACATTCGTGCACCTGTCGTACATTCGTTTCTCCAAAGAGGAATGACGATCGCAGAGGAGGAACGACGACAGAACGTCGACCATTAATTCGACTTAAATACAATTTAATTAACGATAGAATGACCGAGGAAAAAGAAACAGAGAAAATAAGAAAGGGTGAAGAGAGATATAGAGAGAATAACTGTGGGCGTTTGATTAATACGAAAGCCAACCGCGACGGATATTTCATCGTACGTAGAATGCTTTTATTAAACTTCGCTTTATTACCACCGATAATAAAGCGAATATATATATATATATATAACTTAAAGAAAATATCGATAACGAGCACGATTCCCTCGATTTTCTTTCCATTTACTAATACACCAAAGTGTCTTGTTATAGAATTAATGTAGACCACATTTGTGAGAAATAAGATGGATTCTTACTGATCTCAATTATCGATCATTCGTTGATATATACCGGTCGATATATTTTCCTGTCTCGTATTTCTCGAGAAAGGTGGACCGACGAAGAGAGAAAGGGAAAAGAGAGAGAGAGAGAGATAGATAGATAGGTTGAGAGAGAAAGAGAGAAAACTAAAAACATCTTATCGAATTTATTCTTTTTTTTTCCTATCATGCTTCTAACAAGATAAGAAGTCTATCTGCATATCTTAACTTCTCGGTATATGCGTTTAATTATGCGAATCGAGTTACGTTGTACGCACGTTCACGATGTACTCGTTCCGTGTACGAGGTAAGATAAGAAAAGCATCGGTCGCAGCATCTGAAAGAGAAACAGACAGAGAGTAGCCCTTAGTATGGATACAGCCGGTAGTGGTACGTACTTACATATATTTATATATATATATATATATATATGTAAATGTGTATAGAAATACGTATATGTATTTATGCATGTATTATATTTACGTATGTTAGTGTAAAATCATCGTCGTTGTATAGTCGTAGTTATAGTCATAGTAGTTGGGGCGCGAGCGGCCGAGCAGGCAAATAACAAATAAAGCATAAACGGGAGCTACAATAAATAACTGGTGCACGGGTTCTCAGCGTATAGTGGGAGGCACGAGGGGCACTCAAAGGCCCCTCGGGGGCCTTGAAGGAAGGAGCTTACTTCTCCTCTCGTTTCTCTCTACGTCGTATTACCATTGGCGAAGAACATATACATGCCAGAACGGTGAATACCAGAGGGTACGAACTCCACCGATGCTTTTCCTTTCTCTCTCTTTCTATCTTTATTTCTTTATTTCTCTTACTGTCGTCTTACTCTTACTTATTCTATCTCTTTCTTTCTTATTTGTTGTATACTTTTTGTTTATTCCAAAAGAAGACACAGTTGGATAGGTTCTTTCACGATTTATCGAGCAACCGAATTGCACTTACACCGGCACTTCGTCTTATCGATATCGGAGTATCGAAAATAAAGGTCTCTCTCTCTCCTTGGAGGTTTCTTCGATTAAAAGCATATCGCGGTATTGCGAAGAAGCAGATGGAAGCTTTCCACGCGTGCAAACGATATATGTATGCGTGTATATCTCTCGTTTATCTTGATATTCTACTACTCTTATTTTTCTTTCTCTTGCTTGCTTGCTTTCTTTCTTTATTTCTTTATCTTTCTCTCTCTCACTCTCTCTCTCTCTCTCTCTCTCTCTCTCTTCCTATCTATCTTTATTTCTCTATGGTGCCAATCAAGAACGGTGATTCGACCATTTGCCCCGGACCCTTCTCCTCGTCTTCTGCTCTTATCGTAAAAACCTTTCTAAATTGGATTCGATTATTCGAATTTAAAGAGACGAAGAGAGAAAGAAGATCGCGAGAAATCAGGCCGGACCAATTCGGACTATGATGCTTTTGTTTGTTACTTCCATTTAGATATAGTTTCAAGAGAATGAGAGAGAAAGAGAGAGAGAGATAACAATTTAGAAAATTATTTCAAATAAAAATTCATGATAATTATTAGCCATTTTTTTAATGTACAACGACTTTAGATCTCTAAAGTCATGCAACGATGGGGATGGGGGACATGGTTAGTAAAATGGATGGGCGACTCGTTCGTAAACATAAAAGATAAAAATTGTGTACTTATTGATTCCATAAAGACGATAAAAAGACGCTTGGTAATATTAGAAAGGTATGAGAAAATGTTCGTAGAGAAATAATTGGGAATTCTAATAAAAAAATAGATACAATATACAGACAGTATTCTGTTTTAAGACGATTTTGATTTCAGAACTCATGATTCCATTATATTATTTTTGCTGATTTCTTATACTAAAATCAATCCTTTTATATTTTTCGATAAATACAATATATATATATTTTTTACAGGACTTTCTTATCCTAATATTAAATGTATTAGCAATGGATCGTAAAAAATCATACGATTATCTAATAACGATTGAATAAATTCGTCTTAAAGATTTCCGATCGAATGGGGAGGGGGTGCAACGATCGAAGATGGAAGGACAATGCGAATAATAATAATAATAACGAATCGAATACGAAAATGTGTGTCGATCGGGGAGGTTTGGGAGTTATTCGGTGGCGCCATCGTTGTTGGACTGGAAGACCGCGCCTCGTAATAAAAACGCGGATCGGCCCGGGGGCCGACCG